GCTCCCTTAGAAGGCTCAATAATTTTAGCCGCCGTACTTTTAAAACTAGGAGGATATGGCTTAATTCGTTTCATTCCATTTATCTTACAAAAATTATCAATATTTAGAACATGATTTATTAGAATTAGTTTAATTGGGGCAACTGCTACAAGAATAAATTGTACTCGTCAAAAAGACATAAAATCTTTAATCGCTTATTCATCAGTGGCTCATATAGGTTTAGTATTAGCCAGTCTAATAACATTTAATTACATTGGGTTAACCGGAGCAATTATTATAATAATTGCCCATGGAATTTCTTCCTCAGCCTTATTTTTCCTTGTAAATTCAATTTATTCAAAATACCATTCACGAAACATCATATCCTTTAAAGGATTAATTTCAATTTTCCCTAATCTAACCTTATGATGATTTTTATTCTTAGCCATTAACATTTCCGCTCCTCCTACCATTAATACTATAAGAGAAATTTTTATTATCTCTAGCCTCTTAAATTCATCCTACTTAACGCTAATTCTTATATTTTTTGTATCAATCATAACAACATTATTTTCAATTAATATATTCATCAATATCTCCCACAATAAAACCGAAATAAAATTTTCAGAAGAATCATACTCAAAATCTTTTCTAAGTTTATTTATTCACATCACCCCCTTAATTTTAATTCTTTCTAAAATAGAAATTATAAACCTTTAATATTAATAGTTTACTTATAAAACACTGGTTTGTGGAACCAAAAAAATCTAATTGTATTCCTTTTACATCCATTATACTTAAATTTATTACATTATTTTTCCTCCCACTTTCCCTATATATATTAATTAATTCTACATTTATTTCACTAAGACTTCCTATTTTTCACTACCCCCCTTCTTTATTCCTATTAATCTTTTATTTGATTGAATATCTTGCCTATTTTTAGCTACTGTAAGCTTAATTTCTAGTCTTATCCTTACATTTAGATCATCATACATTCCTAATAAAGAATTTACCCGATTCTCTTTTCTTCTCCTTTTATTTATATTTTCAATAATATTAGTAATTTCAAGTGACAACTTAATTTTTATCCTCCTAGGATGAGATGGTTTAGGATTTTCATCTTACATTTTAGTAATTTATTACCAAAACTATTCCACTGCTGCTTCAGGTTCAATTACTATCTTATCCAATCGAATTGGAGATATCATAATCATTATATCATTAGGATTAATATTATCATTCTTAGATTGAAACTTTTCAATTAATAATGAATTTTCATTATTAATCTTAACACTTTTAATTATCGCAGCTTGCTCAAAAAGAGCTCAATTTCCTTTCTCAGCATGACTTCCTGAAGCAATAGCAGCACCTACACCTATTTCAGCCTTAGTACATTCTTCAACATTAGTTACTGCTGGAATTTACCTTCTCATCCGAATTATAAATAATTTTCATCCTTTATCCACATTAATCATTATATCTATTTCCACTATTACTATTATAATCGCTGGTTTTTCAGCTAACTGAGAACAAGATATAAAAAAAATTATTGCTTTATCCACCCTTAGCCAAATCGCTATAATACTTTTCGCTATCTCTATATTTTCTATTAACATTGCATATTTCCATTTAATTTCTCATGCTTTATTTAAATCTACAATATTTCTCTGCGCAGGAATTATTATTCACTCATCCTCATATCAAGATATACGTCACATAGGAAGAATTATATTTAATATCCCTTTAATATCCTCCATCCTAGGAATTTCTAATCTCACTTTAATAGGTATTCCTTTTACCTCTGGATTCTTCTCAAAAGACGCTATTATTGAAAATATATTATCTTCAAAATTTTCCTCTTTCCTATCAATTTTAATAATTATATCAATCGGATTAACAGCTAGTTATTCTATCCGAATATGTTTATTTTCTTTAAAAATTAATCTAAAATCTAAACCTGATTTATCACTACATTCTAATAATTATATAGATATCCCCATTTTAATTATAATTCTAACCTCAATTTTTACAGGAACATCATTATATTGACTAATTTGTCCTAACCAAATTTTTTTAATACCCTTTTCCCTAAAAATCTCAACAATTACAAATTTATTTATTGGAATCATAATCGGAATTTCACTATCATTCTATAATAAAAAATATATTAAAATAGGTATCCCCTCTATTTCATTATGATTTACACACACTATTTCCACTAAACTAAATAAACCCCTTTTACCAATAATAAATATATTTATAAATAATGACAAATCCTGGCAAGAATCTTACGGACCCCAAGAATTATTTTTTCAATCTTATATCTCATCATCAATTCCTATTCTCCTTTCACTATCATTCATATTTATCTTCATTATTATACTAATCAATCCAATTATTTTATTAATCTACTTATATAGCTTAAATAGAGCATTTTACTGAAGATAAAAAGGACTACATCTTCATCATGAAATAATGACGTGATTATTCACCATTTTATCCACTACTTAAGTCGAAATTAAGCCGCTCTTACTAAGCTCCCATTTATATCTCAATAGTAGCAACTAAAGCTCATAAGAAGTTAGCAGCCCCTTAAATTAACTATTCAAGATATGAATATTTCATAACAATTGATTGCAAATCAATTTCTAACCTTATTTTACTTTTTATTTTCCACAACCCTTTACAACCCGTATCCCTTCACACAATCATCCGTTTTCCCGGTTCCCCCTGTAACCGGAAAAAAAGGGGGGAACCTACTCCTGATTGTGTTCCTTCTATTTCATTAACAATGAAATCGCTTAAAGCTTTTAAATTAATATCTATTTGGCAGATCAATGCACTAAGTTTAAGCCTTAGAAACAAGAATATCTATTCATTCTAATGAACCACAATAATATTCATATAATAATCCTAATAACAAAATTACAACAAATATAAAAAATACTACTACTCCTATAATATCTTTTCTAATAAATGGTACCGGTAATATTAATGAAAAATTTCTACATCAAAAATTAAAAATAAAAATTCCAATTAAAAAAAATCGATAAGAAAAAATAAATCGAGACTCTGATTTTATATCAAATCCACATTCGTATGAAGATAAAGTTTCTATATCTATCTTTATTTTATAAGATATTAATAAAAAAACAAAATATACTATTATTAATAAAATCAAAATAACTATTACTACTATCATGTAAATAAATATTAATTTCTCTTTTTAATTGGAAATCAAATGTACTTTTATACTACATTAATTTTATTTAATCTATGCTCCCTCATCAATAAACTACTGAAAATAAAAATAATCATACAACATCTACAAAATGTCAATATCAAGCTGCAGCTTCAAAACCAAAATGATGTCTTCTAGAAAAATGATTTTTTTCAACTCGTACTCAAATTACAAATAAAAATAAAGTTCCAACAATTACATGAAATCCATGAAATCCAGTAGCTATATAAAATGTTGAGCCATAAACTGAATCTCTAATTCTAAATCCTGCTATATAATATTCAAAAGTTTGTAATAATAAAAAATATAATCCTATTATTCACGTTATAAATATTGATTTCCTTACATTTCCCCATTTATTTCTTAAAATAGACTGATGAGCTCAAGTTACTCTAATCCCAGAAGATAATAATACAATTGTATTTAATAAAGGAACTTGAAAAGGATTAAAAGGATTAATCCCTTGAGGAGGTCAAGAAGCCCCTAACTCCACAGTTGGTCTTAATCTTGAATGAAAAAATGCTCAAAAAAATCTTAAAAAAAAAAAAATTTCTCTTACAATAAATAATAATATTCCTAATATTAAACCACTTAAAACTATTCTTGAATGAAATCCTTGATATGTACTTTCACGAACTACATCCCGTCACCACACTCTCGCTACAATTACTATTATAAATAATCTCAAAAATAATAATTCATGTTCACAAAATATAAATATCTTCACTATACCTATAACTACACATAATCTACCTACCCCAACCAATAAAGGCCAAGGAGAAATTGTTACTATATGATATATATGATAATACTTTATCAAACGTTAATAATATTCTAAAGCATATAATAATATTAAAATTCTAAATACAAATCCTTGAATTACTGAGACACCAAATTCCAATACTAATAATATAGATTGTAAAAACAATGATGAAGAAAACCCAAAAATTCTTAATTTTCTAATTATTGATAACAAACCTACAATTAAATGTCCTGCTATCATATTTGCTGCTAAACGAATTGATAAAGTAAATGGGCGAATTAAATGTCTTACTCTTTCAATTAAAACTATTAAAGGAGCTAATAATAATGGTCTTCCTTCAGGAACTAAATGAGCTGCACTAATATAGAATCTTTTTCTTCATCCTATTAGAAAAAAAGTAACTCAAAATACTAATCCTAAACCTATTGTAATTATAGGGTGAGCTGTAGAAGTAAAAAACAAAAGGAAATAAACCAATTATATTTCTAATAACTAAATACAAAAATGTAACAACACAAATAAATACTATTCCTCGATAATTAGGACTTGAAACTTCATTAAAAATTTTATTTAATTCTCCAGAAATTATAGTCCAAACTCTATAATATCCTCTTTCAATTATATAATACTTTATTGGATAATATATTATTACTAAAAACAAAATAATAAAATTTAAATATATTCCTAAATATGAAGTAGGATCAAATACAGAAAATAAACTTATCATCATCAACCTAATTTCTTTTTTCTAAAACCTTTCTTTACATTTAAATGTAATGATGTATTTGAATATAACATCACTTTTAATATCAAAATTATTAAAACTATTAAAATAGAATAATCTCAACTCAATGGTATTAACTGAGGAATCCCTCTTTAACTTTAGTTTGACAAACTAATATTATTTTAACTATTTTATTCATAATTAATTTAAGAGACTAACACCTTTATTCGGTCACCATATTATATTCATCCCTATTAAAAATTCTAACCGAGGAACAACAGAAATCATAATAGGTATAAATCTATGATTTACTCCACAAATTTCCGAACATTGACCTACAAACAACAACAAAAGTTCAGAATGGGCTGGTACACAAACAAATATTTTAAAATAATTTGAAACCTATATTTTTGTTAGACATCAAAGACACCATATTGAGTATCTTCATCTGAAGTGTAGCTGTAATTCCCCATTTGAAGTCCAAATCACCTTAAATAATTCTTAAAAGCACACTTACTAAACAAACTTAAGTAATTTAAAGTTTACTGAAAACTGATTATTTTGTTTCATATTATTTCAGTCCATAATTCAGTCATTTTCAGTCCATATTATATTTTTCATAAAACTCACAAAGAGTAGGACAAAAGTATGCGGTTGCCCCTATGAATGTGTTAAATAACAGCATGTATTTCTTAAATATATTAAAATGTTCGGCTAATATTCTTTAATTAGGCACTTAGGTATAATCCCGATGACCGTGAATGTAAGGGCTGAGATACTGTCAAAGCCTTAATATAAACTATTAGAATTCGACCCTTTTTTTCCGAGCTTCTCGAAAAGACTTTCACCGATTTCTGATACATTGTTAGACCCTCTGATTTTATCGGAAGCAATTTACAACGCTATGAGTACAAACCTCCATAATGTAGTTGGTCCAGTGTTTTACAGTTTAGTCGGTTATATTCAGTTAAACATATAATATTTTATAGGATCCTATAAATTAGAACATAAAATTCTACATGGCATAAATAAATATGTGTCATAAATAAATATGTGATTCTCTAAAATCAGAAATTTCTTATTCAAATTCTTTGAATGCAAAAAGACTATTTTTGAAGATATTTTTTCTTTCAGAAAGTTTGCAAAGAGAGAGAGGGAAAAAACAGGAATTATTTAGCCACAGATCTGGAGAACAAAATATGTGAATTAAAACCTACACTGATTTTATAAGATAAATTTGAGATATGTAGGATGTAGTTTCATGAGGAAAGGTTCTTCTATGAATTAGTTTTTTCTTTTCGCTTAAAACGTTTGATGGAAAACGTTATTTCAAATCTATGATAATTATAATGAATAATGAAATAGTTGTAGATTATAAAAGCATAAACAAAATTTTCTCCCGTGGAAGTTTGGTTTTGGAAAGGATGGAAGACGTTCAGCTAAGAACTGTGTCGACATTTACTTATTGTCAAGGAAGATTCATTTTATATTACATGCAAACCGTTTCAATAAAAGAATTTTTTTTTTCAGCACATGTGAGCAGTAAAGAGCTTGTGTTAAAATCCATGTGCATTTGCATATTCTATTAACTGCTAATTCGTGAATGTGCAATAACTTTCCATATTTTTAAGTTTCCTATTGTATGGAAATAGACTTCCACGGGCAAAGTGGGTAATATCTATACAGGTATATCTTCAAATAACTCTTCCAATTACTTCAAATTAAAGGGTCAGGGATCCATCAAGATTTGGAATTTAAAGCCTGACAAACCAATATCACGCTGCGTATGTTTACAGCCATATTACATGCATATTTTATGCTGACTCTGCTACTGGTTGTTAGACGCACAAAGCAGAAGGAGTTCGAAAATGACATTTTTGCATTTTGAGCAGCTTGCCTCAGCAACATAAAGCGAAGCTAAGAAATTGTCGTTTGGGGAGAATGAAGCTTGAGTCACGATGAATGTGATGTGATAAAATTTGTCCAAGGAAATCATCATGACAGAAAACTGTAACGCAAAACCCCTGAGCCTCGCATAAGCGACAAAAAGTTTCTTGACGATCCAGTGCATTGCGATTGCATTATTTATACAACCATTTACTGGAATTTTTTTCCTTTAAGAAAAAAACATGAGAGCTACTACATAATGATTGTTGGAGTAGGTCTTCTGAATCCTGTAAAAGCTCTTTAAAAAGCAATAATTCCTCCTTAACTCATAAAGCGTTTTTAAAGTTTCATCAGCCTAAAAGCTCGTAAAGCGTTGTAGAATTGTTTGGAATGCAACTTGCACTCTTTTGCGCTAAGTGAATTGGATGAAAATTTCGCACGTGACCTGAGAAACATTGTTTTATAGCTCAATAAAAGTCATTTCCTTTTTATTTGCAAGTAGTTAATAAAAACTCATCTGATAACTCTAAACAGTATTTAATCTTTGTTGGAAGAACTGCATTAATAAGTTTCTTTCTTATGTAAATAAATTATAAATCTTTGCCACTAAAAAAGTTTCATTGTATCTCTTAATAAAAATAATGGACGAATGTAACATAATTTTTTATTTTTTTCTTACCAAAGGGCAGGCACTTTCTAGTTCATAGAATATAATATTAAAAATCCTTTCTAAACTGATAACATTAGAAACGAGAAAATTGCAGTTTCACAGCCTATAAATCACAGATAAAATAGT